ATATGTAAAATAAAAAATACTTATTTCTATTAATAATTTCTTAATACTTAAATCAATTAAAAATTTTACTAACAACCTGTTGGTCCGAGTGAAAGGAATTTAGTTTCCCTTAATTAAGGTCTCAAATTCGAGTCTTTTAAATGAAGAAATAGACACTAGGAGAGTTTCCTCCTAATATGATTATCGAATACTAAGAGATTAATAAAAAAAATCAATTAAAAATTTTTTTATTAAAAAATTATTATAATATTAAATAAATAATATAAAAAACATAAAAACAAACCCGTGCAACGCGCGAGTACAAAAAAAACTAGTTATATAAGATTTTACTACAAAATAACATTATGAGTGAAGAGATAACAGTTTTATAGTTGGGTTTGTACAAATAACAAATTTTATAATTACTGATAAAAGAGACTATTTAAATCTAATAAATAGATTTTTTTTTTATTAATGACTATTAAATGTGCAATGCCTACAAAAAAATAAATGAATTAGCTCTATATAATCTTGAGAGACCTTCGCTATCAATTCAATGAATTTTGGATTAAGTTGGCTTTGTTGATTAAGACAAGAGTCTAAGACCAAACAATAAAATTTGTATTGAGAAGCCTCTTTTTCATGGAAAAATAAATACTGAAAGAGCTTTCTCATTTAGATATAACCCAATTTGACTTTTGATTAACCAGGTTCAATGTGATTTCTAAATATCGATGGGTTAGTACAAAAAGAAAAAAGAGAATTTGCATTGAGAAGCCTCTTTTTCATATTTATATTATATTTACATATATGCCTTGAAGGGTTTACATACATGTACAAAGAGGATTTCATGCAAAAACTATTGAAAAACCTACAAGTTGTTTTCCTTTAACTATAACGCATGCAAAGTTTGGAGATCTCTATAATTTAAAATTAAAAATATAGTTTTTACATGAAATATTAAATAGTGATAAATTATTAAAGTACTTATCATATATCAAGATCAAAGGTTCTAGTAATAATACACAAATCTACCACTATCTATCTAAGCATTACCCACCAAACCTTAGGAGAAATAAAGTAATGACTCCATCACGAAAAGAACTCCAAGGATGAAAACCAAGTATCTAGAGAGGAAAAATACCAAAACAAAAACTTTTGGTAAATTATAAACTCAATAAGTATAATGCATTATAAAACATTTTAAGATTTTTCTAACCTATGCCTCAGGCACCTTTTTGTTGTTAATGTATATAGAAAAATGTAAAAGCTAACATTAATTTTAGTATTAATGTCAAGTGGATAAATATAATTAGATAGTTGATACATTAAAGGTGTTATTACTTTTTCAATACAAGTTTATAACAAAAAAATATATTTATTACACATTTGGGGCAAAAATTAAAAAACCCAACATTTTAAAACTAAGTTATAAACATAAGTAAAATACAAAATAACTATTCTTATGTATATCTGTATCTGTACACATCATCTCAATTAATCAAGTCATACTCAATGTTTATAACTTGAGTTTACCAAATCATTAAGCATGTATAACCCTAACTATTCCCACCAAGTAAACCATAGAGCATATTATCATATATGTATGTATATAATCTTACATACTACACTTATATAAAATTTTAATTATTCATCGCTCCACTCCCGATGATTGAAATTTATCACTATTTTTAAATGAGAAAAATAATTATCTTTAATAAATATAACAAACAATGAATAAATCCCAACTATTGAAGTGAAGAGATAAATAATCAAGATTTTGTATAGGCGTGATGTATAAAATTTGTGTGTCAGTGAATCTTTATTCTATATATACAAAATCAGAGTCATGGAATCACTAGGGTAAGCTAAGCAATACACCCCTATCATCCTCTCTCTCAATAAGGCCTGTCATCCATTTAGAATGTGTCATCATACTGCGTAAAAGGCACCTTGAGGTAAAATATCCACAAAAAACCACTAAGAATTTCATTATATTTCAAATGGGTCATTTTCTTGAAATTAGGGTTAAGTCTTCATGACATAATATATCATAACATGCCACAACAATATTCACATTTTGAATTTAAATTCAACTTCAACATGCTATGTTCCTTTTTGATAAAGTAGCTATCTTGAAGCTAAGAAAACATAGTCATGTTAAAAATCAAGAGTTCACTAAATACATAAAACAAGTATCTTAATATATTGGGATTAGGAGCATCATATATGTCAAATCCAATAAGATCCAAGCAAATCCATTTCAAACTCTAGAATTTAACTCATCAAAATAACTTAAAATCTAGACCCTGGGCAAAACACTTACAAGAAATGATTTTAGCATGTTAAAAACCTTGGAAAATCACCCACTTTTGCCCTAGATTGGAAATTGGAATTTGGAAAAGAAACTTCAAGGGAGAGCACCTATGGAGGGTGGCGGTTTCCCCCTTCAAATACTAGAATTTTCTGGTTCATTCTCTGTTCTTCCCCCTTCATATATACCTCAAGTTCCTATATTTACAAAATTGACATTAATAAAAGACTTGTCTTTGACTAAGTTTTGACTCAAGTTTAATTAAGTTAAATCAAACCACTAAACGGCTATTTTAAGTAATAAATGAATGTTATAACATAATTAAGTCCTGATATGTAAAATGACCAAAATGCCCTTATTATACTCTTTACTAATTAATAAGCCTTTTAAACCAATTTAAGGTATAATCAGTATTATATAGTTATAAAAATTACTCTATAATACCATGGTCTCATCTAGACCACCACTTCATTATTTTTTATATAAGGAACTCAACTTCACTTAAATAGATACTTTGGTCCCCAAATTTGCATTCAAGGCATTCAAGGGCAATCAAGGGCAAATTTAAAATTAAGAAAATTAGGGCACATTACATCTATTTTAAGAGCATGTACAATAGGTTATTCCATTTTTGAAAATAGAACAAAACTTTTATTTTTATTCCTTAAAGCATTTTTTTTTAAAAAGCAGAGCTCTTTGCACTGAGCTTGGTTTTCTTTAATTCTTTTTTGTTTTTTTACCTAAAAAGGACTCAAACAATGTCGATTTGATCTTTTTTCAACCGCAATATTTGACTTTCTTGACATGTGCTGTGTCAGGCCTTGGCAAGTGCCTGCTTGCCGCTTCAACTCAAAACTCAGCCATTGGATTCATCCGATAGCTGTTAATCTTTA